CATCACCTACAGTACAGGGATCACCTCAGGGGGTTGATTCATTCTGGCCTTAGGTTCCATTTTTTTCAAAATTCTGCCATTTCCAATGTATATCTAAGGCAAAAGAAAGGCTCAGTCCTTTCTACTCAATATCTGTCTTCTAGTTGTAGTTTAGTTACAGTTAAGGTATATCAGCCCCTGCTCTTCTCTGTTCCTTGCATGGCAAAGTAATGAAAAGGAGAGTGAAGGGTGCGAAGTCTCTGAAGTTAGAACTTTGTCTGAGGTGTGATGCTGTGCTGAGTTTTGCACTCCTTTCATAACACACTAGAGTAAACTCTTGGCCCAGACTTGCTGACTGAATTCCCCCTTTTTTAATGGAAGCTTCACCATCTAGTGAGCGATGACATCTGCTTGAAGGTTGTTGAGCTCTACTTAAACGAAAGGAAGCGAGGTGCTGCTGGAGGTAACTTATCCTCTCGGTGTGTCCGGGCAGCAAAGGAGACCAGCTATCAATGGAAGGCTGAACGTTGCATGGCAGATGAGAACTGTTTCAAGGTAAGAATTTGCTGCCAGAGAACTTCATAAAGTGGCTGTAGCACTTCACCTCAGAGAAGTGGGTTTGGAAGCTCCAAGGCTACAGTGTCGAGAGAAAGCAATATGGGAAGAAGATTCCAACACCACCACAGATAGCAAAGTGGTGTACTGGCTCACTGAAAAGCCTCGTTGCTTATTCCTGTCCTGTTATCATTTTTATTGTCCAAATGACTTGTGAATATCCAGCATTCTATTGTGGACCCATGTGGCCAATATCTCGTACCTGTCACTTTATTATAGGTAATGTTTCTGCAGCGGAAAGGGCAGGTGATCATGACCATTGAGCTTCTGGATACAGAGGAAACCCAAACAGAAGATCCTGTGGAGGTCCAGGTAATACTACAGTGATCGTGGAGTCTGCTGTATGACTGACAAAGCAGATGTTAAGAATGCTTTCTTGCCTTTTTGTTCCAAAACGTGAGAGTTTTCCAGAAGGATAAGCTTACCTAGGAGGTGGGAAGATTACATGTGGGGCTGTGGTCATTGACAGCAGTGTGTACGTTAACAAAACAGTTCAAACATAAATCAGCTTGGGGTTGAGTGAGACACCAGCATCTTCATAAAAAGCAGCTTGGAAGTAAAGCAGTTCTTTGCATCAGTGTTTGTCCTGATGAGAGAAATCTGACTTGAAATTGTTTTCTCTTGTGTAGCACCTTGCTAACTACATGGAGCAGTACGTTGGGGTAGAAGGAGCTCCGAACAACCAGAATGATGGCTTCTTATTGAAACCAGTCTTTCTGCAAAGGTGAGTTCTCTCCCTCCTTAGTCACGCCTGCAGCTGGTACTACTTCCTCTAAACATGTGGCAGTGATTTTGGGTGATGTACTTAAGAGAATGAAAAACTAAGTGTGATGAACGTTTCATAATTTTTTCTATTTTTTTTTTTTTTTTTTAGAAACCTAAAAAAATTTCGCAAGTGGCAATGTAAGCAAGTGAGAGCTCTGCGGAGTGAAGTGAAGAGCTCCTGGAAGAGACTGATTGGGGTAGAAAGCGCCTGCAATGTGGACTGCCGTTTTAAGCTCAACACCCACAAAATGATGTTCATCATGAACTCAGAGGATTACATGTACAGGCGGGGAGCTCTCTGCCGAGCCAAGCAGGTACATCTCCTATTACTCTCTCTGCCAGCCAAAAGACAGATACCAGTAAGAGATCTTGTGACTGAATTCCTGCAAGCTGCATCCAGAAGTTACTTCTCTGTGTTGGATGAAACAAAGGAGAGAGAGTAGATTCTGTGTGCTTTGGTTTAGTTTAGTAGTTTTTACCATGCAAATTTTAAGGGCGAGTACCAAACAGTAAGAAATAGAGATCTTTAAAGGCAGGGATGCAGCTTTTTGTTTTGCTGTTTGTGTTGTGTTGTAAAGCATGCACATCTTGGACATCCAAAGAGGTGAAGGCTTTGACCTCTTGGTGATCTTTACTGTCCTGCTTTCAGGTACAGCCAATGGTGCTGTTAAAGCACCACCAGCAGTTTGAAGAATGGCACAACAGGTGGCTAGAAGAGAACGTGACCATGGAAGCAGTTGATGTAGTTCAAGACTGGCTAATGGGAGATGAAGATGAGGAGATGGTGCCCTGTAAAACAACTTGCGAGACAGTGAATGTCCACGGGGTCCCGGTGAACAGATACAGAGTGCAGTACAGTCGCCGTCCAGCTTCACCATGAGGAGACTTGTGCCTGGGACCAAGACAAGTAGGAGCGTTGCTGATGAAACACATTTACTCTGAGAATAGTGGTGGGAATGCAATGTATGTATTAATGATATTTATCCAAGCAGCATTTTACTTTGGATTATGATGTATTTTCCATATGGCATAGACTTGTCTTCTTGCAGCGTAATCCTCCAGTCATCATGAAGAGACTTAACAGCTTTATGGGAAGAGGGCTCTTGGCATTGCCACACACTTTTTAGTAGTTTCATAGCTTTAGGCCACTGCTGACCAGCCAACACAGAAGGGCTGAATGAGGGGGGTCAGGCTCTTGGCAAACCACCACTAGTGGCCTCGTTGGAGAGATGGAGTTGGCTGGTGCTTGAGCAGATGCTGGCAGCTGCTTCCACTTTGAAAGGTTTTATGTTCCCTATCTTCCTGAGTTTGTGCTGTCTTGGAGCCTGCAGAACTCTTCAATGTAACCTCCAAGTGCCAGTGTGGCTGAAAGAACCTGGCACAGGTTGCCAGCCTTGCTGCAGAGTGCTTCGTTATCTGTGCGTACTGATAAGGCAACGATTGCAGTATTTGTCACCAATGCTCTGGTGAGAAAACGCCAAAACTGAAACAAGGGTGCGCTAAACCCTCTAACTCTCACTCATCAACTGTGTATTTTGGAGCATGAACTAAGGGGGAAGAAACTCTGTAACCTGCAGTGCTAGGCAAGAGCAGCTGGTGGCACAGGACAGCCAAGACCCGTCACCTACCTGCCTGCAGGTGCTGTGCCAGATCCCGTGTCGTTGCTTCGTGAACCTATGACCTGCTGCAGGCTCTGCCTTTCACATCTGGAGCTGCTTGGAGCGTGTGCGTGGGAAGGAATACCCATTACGAGGTCTGGTCTGGTTTTGGGGTTAGGTTTTTTGGGGGGGGATTTTGCATGCTGATTGGCAGCCTCTGGAGACTGCGTTCTCAGGCGCTTCGCTTTTCTTGTGCATGCCCGGACTCCGTGGTTCTGCTGGGTTGTACCACTTAAATAACGTCGGGAGATGGAGCTCTTGCAGCACTGTATGTGCGCTGGATCTGAGGTTTGTCCCAGATATTCTGCTGTTTCTGCTAGGTCAGCACAGATGATGTATTTGCAGTGACACATGGAAACCTGTGATGGGGAGGATTAGATCCAGCCACAATCATTGTAGACGAACTTTTCCATTGAACCATCTGTACTTCGAAGCCTTTTTGAAAAGAAGCAAGACAAAAAGTACCTTGAGCCGTGCAGAACACTACGTCAATTATCTGACTGAATCTATTGAAAAAATCAAGAAAATTTAGTCGTGTCTGTCCTGCAATCCCGTTGTGACTTTGCTCTTGTTTCTCAAAGGCAAGCACACTGTCATGGAGTGTATTACAAACGTCATGTCTTGAGGCAAGTCTGGCCTCCTTTCAGCTCGGCTTCCAACTTTTCCTGGCTTTTGGGGGAGTAACGCCCCACCTGGATATTTTTTGTGGCTTTGATTTTTATGTTATAATTTCTGCCAGACCTGAGTAGCAGCCTGTAGGATTCCTCCTGAGTTATTTCCACTGCACAGCACTTGGTTTTGCAATTGTCTCACTTGACAGTACAAAAATTGGCCTTTGGGGTACATTTAATAGAAAACTGTACCGACTCTTTTGTCTTTTTTGCAAAATAATCTGTGGGAGGGAAGGAGGGAGACCAGTCTCTGGCATTCGTGGCCAGTTGCACAACCATTGCCAGTGGAGCACTATTCATCAAAAACTCGTGTTCTCGTTGTCCGAGTCTGTTAAATTTTGGTTACGGAAATGATCTGGAGGTTCTTCCCCTGCTCGTGTTGCAGTAAGTGATAAAAGCCACTGAGGGTGTAGCTAGGGGAGAGCTGGGTGGAGAGGGGGTGACAAGCCCAGTGCAAAGCACAGTCTCCCCTTTCACTGCCAGACAGCTCAACAAAATACACCTCAGTCCTGTTCACCTCTCTGCTGTCTTCCAGTGGAGATGACAACTGTGCCAAATTTTATGGTTTTATGATACAGAAAATGTTTACTAGACAGTAGGTTGCAACTTGTGGCTTAAAATGCATTTGATTCCAGGTGTCCCCTAGTGTAGGAGGGTAACACACCTGTGCGCCATCCTGTTCCATCTTGCCATTTTTAAGTGTACTTCAGGTATTTTTAAGCATCCTTATTTTGTAAACCTTAATTTATAATCTGAACAGGTGAAGACAGACTGTGGCCCTTTACAGTGCTATTGTCTTAAAAATGATAGTAGCAAATGATGTGAAATGATGGAATAGCGGGCAGTGCAGGTTTGAGAGTGGCTTGCTAACGTCTGAGAGTTTAAGCTCAACTGTTGTGTATCTGCTAGCACGACCTTGATTCAAGAGTTTGTTCTTCCATTTTTTTGAAGGATCTTTGCTTTTGGGCTTGTAATTGCTTTGCCAGCTCTTTGAATGTAGTTTTTTTATATTTATTTGCACATTCAAGTAAAATAAAATATTGATTTTAAAAGTCTGCAGGTCTCACTGTTTTAAGTTTGTTTAAAATTAGTTTGAATGCTATGACAGCTCCCAGAAGTGATTGCTGTGCACCTGAAACTGAATTTTAAATAGTAGAAAAAATGCAATTGAAAAGTTGGATGAAGCTCCCTTCGAGCAGTTGCAGGGAGGCTGCAGCATGTAATGGTTTTGATGTGTGCCAGCTCGTTTTCACTGGACAGCAGGCAGCAAATCTTTAAACTTAACCCCAGTGGTACATTAGAACACTACCTAACATAAAAGGGAAACAAGTTTCCTGGAAGTAGCGTGCAATAAGAGATCCTGTGCAGGAAGATGGTGCCTGTGGCTCTGTGCTTAGGTGTGTGCTGCCAAGACCTCTCTTGGAGCAAAGGCCCATGCCTGGATGAGAGCACAGAGGTCCATGAGGTGGCACAGTTGCTCCATGTGGAGACAGGTATCAAAAGACAATGTATAGTGCCAATCTTGCTGCAGATTGGTTTATTTCTAGCAGCACCTTTGCCATGAGAGTTGTGGCACAAAAACATGGTCCAGGCCTGGCCCCCAAGTACTCGCACGCTAAATACAAGAGGCATTCAAGAAAGTGACTGATTCCAGTTCCGAAATCTATAAGCACATCTGCTCCAGGTTAAGACAATACAACTGCAACCATGAAAATTACCCCCGCCCCGCCTTTCCCTCAGCCTCCCCAAATTCCTGGGTAATAACATGTTTAACTGTTTTCCCTGTGAGCTCTGCACAACAACTGCATGTGTAGATTTTGCAAATTAAGCTGTCGTGATGTGACCCAGATCTGATAGGAGTTTCCTTTACATCATCCTCAACACTTCCGTTGCCATAACAAAAGGCAACTCTCCTTTCTGTGCAGCGAATTACTCGCTCACAGGGAAACAAACTGTTGTTCTCCTAATAACATTCCTCTGCTGCATAAATTGTATGAAATAATTTGATGAAAATGATGGTAATGGCGTCTCGGAGGACACAATACACTTTACACAAGAGTCTACTCTACGAGATCTTGGACTCCTCACAAAGAACGTTCCCCGTGCTCAAGGGGAGGCGAAAGGCCCTGCGGAGGGACAGCCAGAGCTGACATCACCTAAAAGCAGTTGGAGATCTCGGCAAGTGGACGGTCATTTGGCAATGACAGACAGCTTAAAATATCTGTCAGGTTTGCAGGATGGAGTAAGAACTAATGATTTTATAAATTAAATTAGGAATTGCTAAAGGGAATACCCAAATGCGGTATTTAATGTTTCAGGATTTTTTGTTCCGTGTTACTGCATCACGGTGATGCCCAGAGAGAAGGGGGGCTGGGAACTAGTGACAGGTATCCTACAAGTATGTGGGTGGAAACATGAATTAAGGTTTTATTCATGCTTTTATTCATTCCTCTGGATTAGAACCTAGTTACCCTAAAGAAACCAGAGGCACCTTCTACCTTCCACTCATCAAAATTTAAGGCTAAATTAAAGTCTAGCAATCCTAAGCCATACCTGTGTTAAAGGATGAATCGAAACCCAGTGCTGAAAAGTGATGATGTCTGTATCAGGCAGGGCAGCCCCCACCCCAGTGTCAATAACTTGCTGAGAAAAGTCCAGAAGAAGCTATTGCAGAACATCTAGTGAGTTAGAGTGATGCTGATAAACTTCAGCCCTTCCTGAATAATAACTTCACGTAAGCTTCTTACCTTCTGGAGTGAAAAGTGCAAGAAGAAGAGACATTCTCAAAAAAAAAAAAAAAAAAAAAAAGAAAAGTCTCCCAAAGAATATTGCACCAGCATAAAGCTTATGAAGTGGTGAAGAGAAAACAAACAAGAGAAGGGATGGGAAAAGCTACGGGTGGGATCCCAGTGGAAAAGAAGAGCAGGACAAGCAGGAGAGGGGCACAGAGATCCTCTGGAGCTGGGGAGCTTGCAGGGTGACAGTGTGAGACCCCATGAAGCAAGAGGAGGGTGAGCTGGAGAAGTCAGGAAGGGCCCAGGGCATGAAGTCAGCCTGTAGGTGTCAGAGCCTGCAAAGGCAGATTTGGGATGCGGGGGATCCTGCTTAAAAGGAATATCATTTCGACTTCAACAGTCAGTGGAAGTTTCTGCGCCTGGTGGTTCTGAGAAGTCTCAGATGCTTGCACACCCAGCGGCTGGGAAAGGCAGGGCCCGTCCTGCACTCATGGAAAATGTGACATTGTGCTGACACTGGTGGAAATGCTCCGTGCTGCTGGCGCTAAGGCAGAGCCGCTGCCTCCACAGTCAGCTGCGCCTCGTGTCTGCAAAGCAAACGGAGCTCAGCCTGGGGCAGGTATTAGCTGCACTAAGATTTGTCTTCACACCTGCTGGCTCGCAGCTGAAGAACTCCCTGGAGCTCCTGGAACAGAGCGAAATGTAAGCCCCATTATGAAGATGCCATTTCCCTCCCAAAGTCTGTTCTTCCAGGCCTTAAAGATGTATGTTTGGGGCAGGGCAGGTCGTGTTTGTACCCTCCCTCAAAGCTTTAAAATCCCTAACCTGCTCTCCTTACATCTTCAGGGTTCAGAGCCCGGAAGAAAAGCGTGCCTGCTCCCAGGAGATGATCTATTGCACAACGAATAGCTTTCAAACCAAATTGTTACCCCACAGGGCAGGGATCACACGACTTAAAGAGATGTTAACAAGCCGTGACAAACCTCTGGCATTAGAATTTTCATGCAAGCTGTTCTGCATCTAAAGCAGTCACTAAAGATCACACAGCATCTGAAAAATGAAGGCTACGGCAAGGCCTAACCTCTCTCTGCTCCACTCCAGAGACCTGGCCATAGGAAGCGGGGCTGCGATTTGCACACTATCTGAACCTGATTATGTCTAATTTTTTGCATACAGAGCATGGAAAGGATCCTGGTTGAGGCATGGAAAATATGCGGCCACATGAGTCATTCTGTAATGGTTCATAAATCCTGAGAGAATCACAAAAGCAAAACATCTAACATTGCATCTTCCCTGTCCCTGCCAGTGGAACCCCACCTCTCGACACGCTCGGCACAAGGATGTGGGAATATGGTGAAAGCAAAGGAAATAGGATCATTTTCTCCTCGGAATAGAGGAATCTCATCAAACAGCAGCCAGCCTCAGATTTGCAACCTTCACAGAAGAGGCCATTCATAAGCTGAGGAGAAAGAACTGAACTCCTCCTCGGGTTGCCAAACCAAATTTACAATTCCTACTGCCCGGGCTCCAGCTTCTGTCTTTACCTCCTTGCAGAGCCAGGCAGGGGACTGGAGAGCAACAGCCTAAAAACCAGCAGCCTCTCAAGCTCCGACCTCCTGCCCACCCTCTGATTATTGGGAAGTGGCCCTAATGGAGCTCATACACAGGTGATGGGAGTGTATTTGGGACTTTCACAGTGATGTTCGCAAGGCAGAGTATGAAAGGGACTTACACTCTCAAAATTAGAGGATGGGGGACCAGCAAAAAATCTTGTTACAGTCCTAAAGGCTGAGGGACTATCTGCCAGTGCAAAGGGTCCTTCCTACAACTCTATGAGAGTCACCATCTCCACACAAGCAGCAGGTACGTGGCAGCAGCACGCTGCTGCTCCAGGCTGCTAGCTAAAAAGGAGTGCTCTGCTCTTCTGGGGGTTTAGCGGGTGGAGGCTGCACATCTCTAGAAAAAAAAAAACAGCTTTTCTTGGGCAAGAGTGAGTGAAATTCCCCATTATCTGCCCAGCAGCAGAGGCTTCCTGCGGACCCTTGTCAGGCCCCTTTCCTGCTGGACAGAGCTGCTCTCCATTGTCCTGGGGGTTTATCAGTGGCAGCAGCACGTCTCACGTCTCCGTCCAGCCCTGGGATCTTGCCCCTTATCACTTGGATGTTACGGCACCCCAGGCTGGTGCGTGCTACTGCTGCTGCTTTCAAGTGCAAACAGATCCCACGCACGGGGCTTTTAATTAACCTCCACAGCCAGCTCAAGAAGGAAGGTGCAGTTCATTTCCCTGTCTGCCCTGGAAGCAGGAGCAGAAATAAAGAAATTGAAGAACTCTGAAAGGCCCAGCCTGATCTGGAGAATGCAAGACAGCTACTAAAAGCCCTGAACTGTCACAAAATGAGGCTGTAAGAGCCTTGTGTAATCCCTAGGAGCTTGGGAGGTTTGTTTGGATCTGCAGCTCCCCAGTACTTCATTTATGTTTATGTGAGGGGACGATGTCTTCCCAGCGTGTTGGGTTAGTGTGGGAAAAGACCTGAAACATGCAGAGCTACTTGGAGTAGAAGGACACTGGCTGCAGGAGCTCAGAGGCATTTCGATTCGGTTTACATGCTACACCAAATGCAAAATGCATCAGATGTGACATTTTTTATTTTCAGGAATATTCTGGAGCAGGAGGAAAGCCCAAAATGAGTCACTTAGGCTCTGACAATGAGACACAGTCTCCGTGGACCTGGATACGTGCATCCATCCTGGTCCCGTGGCTGCCCCTGGAGCTACATCACTGCTGGGACTCTACGGACTGCAGGGATGTCGTGACAACCCCCATAGGCCTCCAACTTCGCAGGATGAGCCTGGTGCTTCCGTGCGTTAAGGACTGCGAGAAGGAAATGCGTAAGCACAGTCACTGCACGCCTGCCTTTCCCACACAGCTGTGAGCCCAGCAGCTCCCTGGTTGCCACACCAGAATGGGGACCTCTAGGAACGGATGGCTGTCACCCCAGCTCGTGCTCTGCTGTGCCTTTTGGGGACTCTGCCTGGCCTTTCCAGACTACGACGGTGAGTGCACATCTTTGGGTGAAAAATTGTTTCTTAAAGTACTGGATACTTGGTAGGTGCCTTCATGAGATCCCTGAAAACTCATTTGTGTCATGTTACCACAGGGGTGCATGTTCTAATTGAGATTGATGCATCCTCACGTTAGAGCAGGAGGTGATAGAAGATGCTTATGAAAGGGAAAGAAACGGGGTGAATTGGATTCTTTTGAAAGCTGGGCAGAGGAAGCACTGTGTTTCCCCAGGCCTGTTGATAATTGCACGCCATAGCAATTGTTTGTGAGCGGTGGGACCCCACCAAACAGCAGTTGTGTAAGTTTTCAGTAAGGTTGCTGATGGTTACTCTTGCACACCTAACTCTGTCAGCCAGCATTTTCTACCCATGGCACAGCAGCACTTTACAGAATACTCTTGCCGCTAGGGACCCCATCATAAAATGCAAAACCTTAGTGTTTGGTGTAAGCATCGTGTATCCTGCCTGTCCTGCAAAATGCTAGCATTTGCATGCAAGTAACAGGCTGTGTTTGCACCGACAGATTACTCTCAGAATGTCACCAACGAGCAGGTAGTGGCACCAGAGATCACACCGTGTCCCCGAGCCATCCCAGGAGAAAAGATAACGATAAACAACATCACGTACCTGTTGATACACAATGCCACCCGCTCTCAGCTGAACAGCGTGGTCACTGTGCGGCTCATCCCCTGCCTCTACACCCTCGTCTTCCTCGTGGGGCTGCCTTCAAACGGGCTGGCCCTGTGGGTCCTGGCTACCAGGGCCGAGAAGCTGACCTCCACTGTCTTCCTGATGAACTTGGCTGCAGCAGACCTGCTGCTCATCTTGGTGCTGCCCTTCAAGATTTTCTACTATTTCCTGGGGAACAACTGGCCCTTTGGGGAAGGCCTGTGCCGGGTCACCACGGCTTTCTTCTACGGGAACATGTACTGCTCAGTGCTGCTGCTCACGTGCATCAGTGTTGACCGGTACCTGGCTGTGGTGCATCCTTTTTTCTCCCGTTCTTTCCGCACCCCTGCCTTTGCTGCCTGTACCTGCACTGCCATCTGGCTCTGTGCTGCTGTCCTCACCCTGCCCCTGACCCTGCAGCAGCAGTCATACCCCCTGTACAGAGCAAACAACACTCTGTGCCACGACGTTCTCCCCAGGCACGAGGACGACGGGTATTATTTCTACTATTTCATCTGCCTCATTGCCTGTGCTTTCCTTGCTCCTCTGGTGGTGATGCTGTTCAGCTACTGCTCAGTACTACGAGCCCTCCTGGACAACGGCAAGCGGTACGCCTACTCCATGAAGCTCACAGCTCTCGTGCTGTTCACACTCGTGGCCTTCTACACACCCAGCAACGTTCTCCTCCTCGTTCATTACTCCAGCTATCATTCCAAGCTGCACGGTAACCTGTATATCAGCTACATGGTGAGCCTGGCCATCAGCACCTTTAACAGCTGTGCCGACCCCTTCGTCTACTACTACGTCTCTGAAGATTTCCGGGATAAGGTGAGGAGGAGATTCTTCAACCACAGCAAAAAAACCACCACGTCCTTAAAAACCTCCAAAGAAACTCTCCCTCAGAAAAGTTCCAAGGATTTGCTTGTATAAACCTCCAGCCCAGCTCCCTGCTCCCAGGGCACTCACAATATACAGTGGGGATAAGACAAAGCCAGTGAGTGCTGAGATTTCACAGGTTTCATCCAGAGCAGCAAGCAGTACGTCCCAGTAGGCAAGTCCTGGTAAGGAAGAGCCATGTTCTTCTGTCTGCATAGCTGAGACCAAATAAACCTAGGCCACAGCATTCCTTGAAAAGTGTGGAGTCCAGATAAGATGTGGGGTGCTGAACGGGAATAGATCTGTTACTGGGACACTGCACGTACCTTCTCACCTGGTCTTCTATTGCCAGGGATGCTTTTGCTAACACACCTCAGTCTGCTTCTCCTAACACACGTTGCAAGCTGGTTGTTATCTGCTTTCTATTTCCTTTTCTGCTACCGGCTTTCTCGCTGTCTTTGAACACACAGTCCTTTTACCTAAAACTGAAAAAGAACAGGTGTTTGGCAAAATCAAAGTTCTCAACATTCCAAAAGCACTAAGGAGGTACTTTTGTGGAAGGTATTCTCCTGAAATAAAATACTCCTCTGGCAGGAGAATGTACAGTGCTAGCTTTTCTACCAATTACATTCTTGGCTTGACTAGTGAACAAATGTACACCACCATGGTAATGCCAGCCCATTGTTGGTAATAAGTGTAAAAAATCCTGTTCATTCATCCTCAAGTTGCTCGGCCTCCATGATTGCTCTGAGGCAAAGACTGTTTTATGTCTCTTGAAGGGAAATATTCAGGAAGGAATTGAGCAAACCCTCACTCTAGAAACTCATTGCTGCTTTTGCTTAATGACACATGCAATTGAGACCTTGCATTTATGAACCAAGCTTGTTGCTCAATCCTGGAACATGTGGCAAATTTGGCAAAATAGAGCCAGCTCATCTCGGGGAATAACCCAGTGAGGCACAAGGTAGAAAATGAGTGATCAACTTCCTTAGAGGTCCTGAATTCTTCAGTTTTACGGGTAAAGGCATGACTTCTGTGATCTATGATCAAACAAGATTACAGCCTACAATGTGAATAAAGAGAGACAAACAACATTGTTTTAAAATCAGTTTTTAATAAAATATTTATTATAATCTAAAACAAACCCTTTTCTGGACTCAGACTTGCTAAGATGTGTGTGAACAAAATGCAAATGATCATAGAACTGTTTGCGTTTACATGTACGTGCAGGGGTGAAATGCAGGTGAAAAACTAGAGCCCATCTCCTACAGGTGCAGCAGTGCACGCACAGAGAACGCGCCAGCTACTGAGCACAGGAGATGTGGTGGAGCCAGGCTGCAAGCCAAGACTACTGTCACTCAGTCAGAAATAGCAAGTACTGCAAAAACAACAACAACAACAAAAACAACCAACAAACTGAGCTGAGGTTTTCCAAATAGATCATCTATCCGCAATAATGAAAACCAGGTTACTCTGCATTAAATATCAATAATCAGTGTCAGCAAAGCAAGTGCTGTTGTTTCAATGATGCTATTCAAACAAACTGAACATTCTTCTGATATTTGTTTCCTACAGAGGCTGATTAAGGAGGGAAAGAGGCAAGGCCAAAACACTTGGACAGGAAAGGACAAGGGAACTATTGCTTTAAAATAAATACCATGGTAATGATTACTCTGCATAATGTACAGTTACAAATATATAAATATTAATTTCATTGAAAGGATTGCAAGCAAAAATCACTGATAACTAGCACTGCTGTAGCTATTCAGTAACATAACTCGATGTATGTAGGAATTTGTGTCTTACAAACCCACCAGCACTTTTCTCCTTTTGCAGTGAGGGACCATCAGAGAAAGGAAAGGAGAAGCATCTCTCTGACAGAGGGAGGCAAATATCTCTAAGCCACAAACAATTCAAAGCCCAAAGAAGCAGAAGCTCTGCTTTTCTTCAGTAATACTGAGTCTGATATGGCTATGTTGTGTCAAGTGGTCCTCCTGGATCTAGCCCTAAAGAGTTTGCGTATTACATCTAGGACTTTGAAGAATGGAAGGAAAATAGTTTTGTTTTTCCTGGATAAGAATTACTGATGATAACAAGAAACAGGAACAACAAACTGGGGACAGGGGAAAGCTGTTGACCAGCAGCTGGGGGTGGAGAGGACAGAGACCTGCTCCATTACTACTGTAACAAGGGAGAAAAGGCAAACAGGTGTGTATTTATAGGCTCCTTTATTTGATTCCTTAAATCAAATGACTGATTTTTAACTTTAGAAAGGAGCTAGTTTGGTGGCAGGAGTGAGGGGAGGCAGAGGCTGCCAATATGTACTTAAGGAACACAGGAAGAAGAGACAATGGACTAATAATTTCCCTGAAAGCTGTGAAGCAGCAACCCAAGCTTCAGGATACAGAAAACCTGGCACACGACCTCACGTGCAGCATCCCATTTAGAACTGCCTTTGCTAAAGGACACTGAGGCTGCTGTGCCTCTGCCTGCTAGGGGTCCAGGACTCTGTCAGTTCTTCTAGGGATAAAACAGAAGCAAGACTCTCCTGCCTCAGACAGGTGAGTGCTCTGGCACACAGCGAGCCCTCAGACCAAAGTTATGATTGATAGGCTGGCACCAAGGAGAGATGTAGCTAGCAGTAACGGGGAAATGTTTGCATGTTGAATTAGCAGATTACATGTAACAGAGACTGAGGAAAATGAAGGAAGTCATCTTTAATACTAAACTGAATCTCCCTACCTTCATCTTCTTGTGCCCAGTGGTGACACTGTCTGACTGCCCAAGGATCTATGAGAGGATGAAGCAATATGAAATTACTTAGAATATCTATCTAAAAGCATTAAATGGATGAGACAGGGAAACTAAAGCCAGAAGGGGACAGAGGACAGGAGGCTGAAGAACCCTGAGCACAGGTCCCATCTTCTGTGGGAAGCCACTCACACAGACATTATCGGGGTGACCAAATGTCTCATTCTCCAGCCTTGAAGCATTAAACAGCTGAGGCTGGAACCAGCAAACAGCAGGGTTTGTATTGTGCAGCTTTGATATTTAGAAAAGGGAAAAAAAAGAAACAACAAAACAACTTCTTGTTGCAGCTCATACTAGGTCTGTTATTTACCCAGGGAATAAATATTGACTCAGGCCTGTGTGTGTACACAATAGCAAGCATCTGCCAGGCCAGTTGCTTACAGGAGATGGAATTTAGTTTAAAGGCATTTATTTACCTGCCAGACAGGAATGCAGCCGCCAGTGCTTCTGCTGTGCAGTGGGGACACAGTGAGGACGTGGTCTGTTCATACACACTGAAGAGACGTGGCAAAAAAACTCTGCTGAGAAGCAGTGGGTGCATACGGGCAAGAGCCACGTCAAGATGCTGTGAGGAGAGCTCACAGCAGCCACGAAGGAAGGCTTGGTAACTTTCCAACAAAGCAGTTCTGAAATTTCTGAGAACTTCAAGACCCAGACCTTCATCGTGTCAGTTACATTCTGCAAATATCTAGCCCCAGACAAAAAGGACTGGAAACTCCAAATGCCCAACTTCTGGGATACCTCCTGTTTTGTCCCCATGTAGACAGCTTTCTGGAATAAAATTGCTTTTATTCTGGAATGGAATGTCTATACTGGGATATATTCTTGTCAGGGTTCCTGTGTAAACAAGCCCTAAAAATGAATGGAGCTGGGCTTTTTCCTGTTTCCATTCACCAATAAACACCCTCAAAAGGAGTTTCCACCCCACTCCGGGTCCTTGTAACAATAGACGTGGGAAGATAAAATATTAACACTATTTTGCAACAGGCAATTGCATCTAACTCCTCCAAAGAGAACAATGCTGCTCCAGGCAGGAAGGGAAACCAAAAAGTCTTGGCTCATGCACTTTTGGAAATAAAGCTTTTGTTTTTAGTTTTACCACATTGCTTGGGGCAGGTCAGTCTAAGGGAGTCCAGTCTCTGTGACACCAGTGATTTATACTGGCAAGCAGGCCCAGGGCCTATGCATAGATTACCATATCCAGAAAAAAAAAATAAAAATCATTGTATAGGAATGCTGGTGGGAGCAAGATAAAAGTGATTGGTGAAGTCAGGCGAGCATTTAAAAGGACTGTGCCTCGGGTCAGTTCATGTCAGGGTTACAAGGAGGAAAGGGGCTGCAGAGCTGAGAAGGCTGCAAGCAAACCTCATCAGCACATAGTGCAAAATGAAGAGGGCTCACCCACCAGATCCTGGTCGCTGCTATGGCTAGCAAACTCCCCACCTGAAGCTTTTCAGCCCTGTCTGACAGTGGATTTGAGTTTTCTCTTGTGAAATGGACCTCCCAGCATCTTTCCTGAACATGGAGGCATTAGGACAGTTTTTCTTCTTGTAGGACATAATTGTGGGTACAGTAGACTTATAGGCTAGAGAAGATGATTAGCCTCTTGCTATGTCATAATTAGCAAAACATACTGATTTTTATTATAATAATTTGCGAGAAAACTCCTCAGCCATCCTTCCTCAAACAGCAGTTCAGCTAAGCACGAGGCCTGGACTTAGCTTCTAAATGTAGCTAGGAAATGGCATTTGCAGTATCCTGATAATAGAGAAAACATTCTGAAAAGGTCTATAAGTTTGAATTCCAGCCCCTATTTTTCTCACCTAGAGGGCACAGCATATTGGCCTCCCATCCTTGGAAGTACTCCTAGGAGGATGCACAAAAGGCAGGAAAATTGACAGAAGAATAATGCTGAGTGTCCCCCTTAGCGCTCCAGATCCACCCCCATGGGGCAGCAAAGCCTACAGTTCTGAGGGCATCAGGAAGTAGTCATCATTCGGTTTCTGTTCTGCAGCAGGTCGTCTGTTGGAACAAACTCATACAGGAGTTGATTCTGAGCCTCTTCTCTTTATTTAAATTATATATTTCTGTTGGAAAGAGAACATAACGAAAAAAGTCACTTTCCCCTTACATATCTTTGTGAAACATCACTGAGGCAGGGCAGAGAAAAACTTAAAAGCTGCTAGGAATGGAGACATCCAGGCCGTGAAGACTTGGATGCTGTCCCAGTGAGATCTTTTTCCTGGTGATTCCTTGCTAAAGAGGCTAGCGAGTCGCTTGTAAGAATGCCCATTTTGAGGAACTGAGTACATTTGACCCAACACATGAATTAGTAAATTATAACTCACAAACCCCCACACTCAGGGCTCACCATTCTACTGTGGTCACTACTTCCTGAATCTTGTCCACTTTTAACGTGCTTGCTGTCGTCAGCTCTGCCACAATCTCAAAAACGTCAGCTTCAGAGGCATAGGGGTCCGGGTCGTATTCATAGGAATAATATGACAGATCTGACTGTGGTGGAGGGCCTTCCTCTGCTGGAAAGGAAACCATAGTCTCAGCTTGTGCTTTATCCAAAGAAACTGCATTTCAGCATTACATATTGCATCACAGAGAGAATGGGAATGACATTAAAGGGAAGGAATAGTAAGAAGGGAGGCAAAACAGGAGTCAAATCAGTGTCTTACAGTGAAAAGGAGGCTACACATGTCAATAGCCCAGTGCATGAATGCTTAGATTCATATACAGGTAGAAAAGCTGCTATAGATGGGAATTTTTGATTTCCCATTCTGAAAACTGGATGCTGTAAAAAAATAAATAAAAGGAATCACAGCGCCAGGCAATTTGAAAAATCTCTAGATCTCATTTTAAAGCATCTAATTTTAGGCATTAACTGAGATGATTAAGTTGGGAAGCAGTTCACCCTACGATCTATATACAGTCAAGATAAAAGGCAGCTATCTTTGGGAATACTGGATGTCACAGGTGTGTTACACTGCACTCTGAAAATACCTCATCTGTGATGTCAGAGATACCTTGCACCGCACCCTGAAAATACTTCATCTTTCACTAAGTAATAAGCTGAATAGTAGCCGAGCTGTGTCTGCCTCAGCAGGGTCTCATACCACCGAGGAACTTCCAGCATTTAAGACAGGAACAGGCAGAAATGGGTACTGCTCCCCCATGCATTCACTCCAGCCCA